GAAGGGAGATAACTCGTGTTGCGATCTTTTGCCGCTAGGGGATTTTACGAGAACCGGGAAATATGGCCGTATTAGAACAGAGGTTCGTAGGAAGATATGACAAGTAACCTCTGTGGGAAGAGAATGGGGGTTGTGGGAAGTATTACTTAACAGAATAACCAAATAACTTCATGCCAAAAAATGTCAAAAGATGTTATGTTACTGGCAAACAAGGATAAGTTGAGCACCGACCTGACAATTGACCCGTATTGGCATGTATCACTACTATGAGTGCTGCCGACTGGCTCTTGCCATTGTTAGCGAAGGGGTCCAGGTTGTCCGTGATCAAGTTTAGTGTGACTTACTACACCAATATGAGAGTCTTACAAGGTGTAGGCAGCTGCGCTCGGAATCAATTTCATCGTCATGCAATGCACGTGCACTAGCCTACATCTGCTCTACCTTTCACAAACCAAATGGGTTTGCTTTTTGCAGTGCACCGCCTACTTCTCGTAAATGTGTTCTCTGCTCTGGTCCAACTTATCCTTGTTTGCCAGTAGTTGTGTCTTCATATTATTTGTTTGTTGTTTACGCCACACTCTGCAGTGTTCCAGTTATGTGAAAATGATCTGTAAATTATTTGGGACAAAACAAAGTATTTGTAGCACTATGATTTTCATAGACCATTGATAAATAATATACTTAAGTCGAATGCTGCTCTTTAACATTAGCATTTTTACAGTACCATTTTCAAGGACCTCTTGACTTTCAACCTTCATTTAGACCATAGCTCTGCAGTATACATGCTTTATAACATGTGTATATTCAGCGAACACAGGGGCGGTGGGGTAGCCTCGTGGTTAAAGCGTTGGCTCGTCACGCCGAAGACCCGGGTTCGAATCCCCACACTGGTACAATGTGTGAAGCCCATTTCTGGTGTCCCCCGCCGTGATGTTGCTGGAATTTTGCTAAAAGCGGCGTAAAACCAAACTCAGTCAGTCAGTCAGCGAACACACTAAATTCTGCAATGTGCAGAAAGGTTTGTGATGTAAAACAGTTCTTGTTTCACATGATCATCTACCTGAAAGCTTACCCAATAATTGTTATTTTTCAAGTGCTGTTCAGGTGTAATTGAATTCTTTATCCCAAATCATATTTTTGTACCAGAATCCAATTTTTAATATTAACATGGTAGAGAAGGACAGTAAGATGGCAGATAATTCAGTTTGCTATGTTTATATTTTGCATTAAGTTGAGTAATTACATTACTAGAAAATAATCTTTTCTATGCATGAAAAGTATATCAAGTTTGGTTGTTAATCAGTATAAGTATGATACTTTTGAGTTGGTATATGGATACTTCGCGTTCCAATGGTCAGTCAGGTCAGTCACATGCATTGTGACCACTGAAGACCAATTAGCATGGTAAGAAACTTACACTTGATCTACTGGACAGGTTCTCCAAACAATTAGTTCCACTCTGCCCTAGTATGTAATACAATCTACAATAGCCTGTAGCAGCTAAGTAGCCAGGAATAACATCAGTGGTGGTCTCCCCACAGAGCTGTTGTACTGACACCCCACCCACAGAGATCAGGGCTGTTGTACTGACACCCCACCCACAGAGATCTAGGGCTGTTGTACTGACACCCCACCCACAGAGATCTAGGGCAGTTGTACTGTCACCCCACCCACAGAGATCTAGGGCAGTTGTACTGTCACCCCACCCACAGGGATCAGGGGGTGCTGTAGTGACACCCCACCCACAGAGATCTAGGGCAGTTGTACTGACACCCCAACCACAGAGATCTAGGGCAGTTGTACTGACACCCCACCCACAGAGATCTAGGGCTGCTGTACTGTCACCCCACCCACAGAGATCTAGGGCTGCTGTACTGTCACCCCACCCACAGAGATCTAGGGCTGCTGTACTGTCACCCCACCCACAGAGATCTAGGGCTGCTGTACTGACACCCCAACCACAGAGATCTAGGGCAGTTGTACTGACACCCCACCCACAGGGCTCAGGGGCTGTTGTACTGACACCCCACCCACAGAGATCTAGGGCTGTTGTGCTGACACCCCACCCACAGAGATCTAGGGCAGTTGTAGTGACACCCCACCCACAGAGATCTAGGGCAGTTGTACTGTCACCCCACCCACAGAGATCAGGGCTGTTGTACTGACACCCCACCCACAGAGATCTAGGGCAGTTGTACTGTCACCCCACCCACAGGGCTCAGGGGCTGTTGTACTGTCACCCCACCCACAGAGATCTAGGGCAGTTGTACTGTCACCCCACCCACAGAGATCTAGAGCTGTTGTACTGACACCCCACCCACAGAGATCTAGGGCAGTTGTACTGTCACCCCACCAACAGAGCTCTGGGGCAGTTGTACTGACAAACACAGACATGTGCAGGACACCCAGGCTTCTGTAATGATTCCCCAACTAGAGAGCTCTGGTGCTTCTGTACTAACACTGTACCCACAGAGCACCTGGGCTTCTGTACTCACACTGCACCCACAGACCACTAGGGCTGCTATACCGTCAGATTAGTGTAACTTCTGTTCCAATGCCCCACCCACAGAACTCAGAGGTTTCATTAATAACACTGTACCCACAGCACTAGGACTGCCCCACCATCACCCAACCCCCAGAAAATATATCCCTGGCACTGATGGCCCCACCCACAGATCACTACCACCAGTATACCCACATACCATCCAGCTCAGTGCATACACCTCCACAAATTGGGAGATAAGCTTGTTCTTGTAGTCCTACTTTCATGCACCACTGGTGTTAATGACTATAGGAAATCCGAGACCCACCTGGTAGGTAGTACTCTGGTTACTAGCTGCCGAGAACAGTCACACTTTCTGTCAAGTGTTTAGGATTGTTTTACTGAGTGGGGAGGATCGTTTTACTGTGTGAATGATGTTGTTACTGATGTACTAGGGTCAGAATGACTGGTAAATTCAGTTAATTAACAGCTTGGCAGGAATGGCTGACCTCAAACTCCCAACAACTTCCAACAATCCTCTATTCCACTGTACACCCAGGGACTAGGCTGAAGCTTGGTGTCTGAATATGTATAATTTTGATAGAAACAAATAATTCGTTTTAAATCAGACTGTCTGGTGAATTCAGTTAATTAACAGTTTTGCAGAAATGGCTGACCTCAAACTCCAAAACTCCTTCCAACAAACCTCCATTCCAAGGTACACCCACGGGACTAGGCTGATACTTGCTGTCTATATACTTTTGACAGAAACAAATAATTTATTTTAAATAATAAATCAGAATGACTGGTAAATTCAGTTTATTAACAACTTGGCAGAAATGGCTGACCTCAAACTCCAAAACTCCTTCCAACAATCCTCTATTCCACTGTACACCCTCAGGACTGGCTGATGCTTGGTCTCTAAATATATATAATTTTGATAGAAAAAATAATTCCTTTTAAATTGAAAAGGAGCCCCAGTGAGATGGGAGATTCAGAACCTGAGGAAATCTAGACTTCCTTCATTGAAGGCTTTAGTACTGCAGAACCACTGGGAGGAAGGGAAACAATGCTGTTCCGAGACTGTGAGACAGGACTACAGGGAACTTGTGGGATAGCCTTGTAATGGTTTTGTAAACTTACACTGTTGACTGATCTTGCCATGTTAAATTCCCAGTATTGATTCAACTAGCATGTCTGGAAGAGATATATCGATTACGAAGTTTGGTATAGAAGTTCAGCACCAAGTCTGACACAGATGGCAGTACAAATGCCTAATTTGTATAAAACATTTCCAATGCTTGATATTAATAATCAAGAAAGTACGAACAATGAAGAGAACCCAGTTTTGAACAACATCACAAAACGTTTCCTAATTTGGCAGAGAGAGCTGGTGGTCAGAACATTTCAAATTTAAGTTAAGGTACTAATATATGAAAGACTAAACTGATTTTATCTTGACAGGGAGCAGTGTTTTCACTGTTTAGTGCATTGTTGGTAGCGACACTGCCAGACTTTGATCTCTTTCTTAGCATATCCTTATAATAACAATATAAGACAATCTGAACATATCATCAAGGCATTCTGGGGGACACAAATGACCTCTGCAATCCCCAGGTAGTGTTGTGTTCCAGACCTCTCTACATTATCAGGTGTAGTAGTCTAAGTTGTTGCAATTCACTTTAAAGAGATGCCATGCTTGGACGCTTTGGAACCCTTGAAGATGGATTCGATGTTTTGCCACCAGCACCCTTACTTGTTGGTTTCACAAAATTTGTAAATGTTTAAGACCTGTGTGACTTCAGGGTCCCTTCCCAAATCAAGTGAAGATCCGGGTTAGAATTGATCTTCAGTTACCATGCTTAAGAGGCGACTACCGGTATTGGGTGGTCAGACTCGCTGACTTAGTTGGCACATGTCATCGTATCCCAATTGCGTAGATCGATGCTCATGCTGTTGATCACTGGATTGTCTGGTCCAGACTCGATTATTTACAGACCTCCGCCATATAAGCTGGAATATTGCTGAGTGTGGTGTTCAACAACAAACCAACAAACCAACCAATCCTCTCTCCACTGGCGTACAATCGAGTCTCAACTAGTCAGTAGTGGCATGTTTACAAAGAAGTGATGACTGTTTTGGGATGAGTGGTATAACCAAGACTGACTGACTGACTGAGTTTGGTTTTACGCCGCTTTTAGCAATATTCCAGCAACATCACGGCGGGGGACACCAGAAATGGGCTTCACACATTGTACCCATGTGGGGATTCGAACCCGGGTCTTTGGCATGACGAGCCAACGCTTTAACCATTAGGCTACCCCACCGCCCCGGTATAACCAAGAAGTTGCTGATGACATATATAGCACCTTGCTCACATAGACAGCTTGGGGAAGGGGGGCATGTTTATCATAAATCTATGTGACAACAATATGAGAAACTCACTTATAAAATGTTTGTTTCAAGTATAAAGTGAATATTGTTTTGGATGTCCTGACAAAATGCTTTAATTTTTCAGAATTCTATGGACTTACCTCCTGACAAAGCTAAAGTACTAAAAAACTACGATGATGAGAAGAAATGGGATTTAATCTGTGATCAGGTACGTGACTTTTAATTAATAATCATTCATAAGTTTCAGCAGGAGGAACCCACAAAACCAGTCCACTGGTTCGTGTGTTCCATGTTCACTAACCAGGCTTGCTTGAAAAATATTTTCCAGATATTCTTGCCTTTCAGGATTGAAACTGACATCCTCTGTGGATCCTTATCCCTCAGAGGTGACCTTTATTCAATTTAAGAATAAACTGGAGGCTTTCAGTTTGAAATAATCTCAAAATGTAATTTTATTGATTTTCAGTTCTTCAGTGTTTTAGAGAATGTTTATTTCAAGGTTGATAAAATGGCTGCTTTGGTGGGAAATTGCTTGTGGAGAACTAGCAGAGTGATGTGTTTGATGGAAGTTAAATCTAATCAGCCAGTCACAACTGCTTCTGAAGGCTAGAGAGCCAAACGGTTGTTCCTCTCCTATTAAACATGTCATGTTTATGCTGACAATATGGCTGGATGTTGAGGATGGGAGATGCTCTTGCAGACAAATTGCACTGCAGTGCAAGTTGCAGCAATGTTCTGGTGCCAAAAAGTGTATTGATTTGAAGGAGCAGTAAGCATGGTGATGGAAGGAAGGTCTTCCAGCAGGATAGATTACCTGCTACGGTTTCACGGAGAAAGCTTCCAAAATAACCATCTTGACTGTGTTGAACCCGGGAGTGGTTTTGACCCAACATAATCAAGATTGCGCAGTGCTTTATCCTCTCTTGACCACACAGACTGACCTGACAGAGGGTTGGCTTCATGTGAGGGATCATGCTGTAAGGAGGAAGGCTTGACCACTCTCTCAGACCTAATATTGAGGGCTTGACCACACAGACTGACCCAGTACAGTGGGTTGGTTCCATGTCTATTAGACTAATGCTTAGACTCTGAATATGTATCATTTTGATAGTAACAAACAAGCCCAATTAAATTGAAAAGAGCCCCAGGGAGGCCAGAGATTCAGAACCTGAGGAAATCTAGACTTGCTTTATTTAGGGCTTTAGCACTGCAGAGAGGGCTTGGCAGTAGGGAAAATAATGTGGTTCAGGGACTGTGAGACAGACTACATGTCTATGGGTAATGCAGACTTGATACAAAGGGCTTGGCCACACAGTCTCACTTGATATTGAGGGCTTGATTGTACTGTCTGACTTGGTATAGATGGCTTGATCACTCAGCCTTAACTAATATAGTTAGGGGCTGAGGTAGCCTAGTGGTTAAAGTGTTCTCATGCTCACTAATATCATTTCTGTTCACCCCGTGATATTGCTGGACCACTAATATAGTTACCACTTGACCGGACCTGATATAGAGGGCTTGATCACTCAGTCTCACCTGATACAGGGGTTTTGACCACACAATCTGGCCAGATAAACGACTTGACCACAAAGTATCACCAGCTCCTTGTTAGGCCATGTGAAGATACCAACAAATTATACCTTGGGGTAATTGCACAGTTCATCATTACACACAAACAAATGAAACGAAAACTGTCAATCTGTTGTATGTGGTGTCAACCTAAAGCTGACCCTGATAATCACTTAGAGATTGCCTTGAGGCATTATGGTAATTGGTGTCTTGTCTTCATGTTCCATGTCTAAGCTGTTGGTAAAGGAGTTATGTGTGTGGTGGATGATGTACTTTAGATGACAGTCCTGTCCTCAAGCATCAGCTCGTTACAGGGTTTCCCCAGGAAATGAAATAGCTCCATCAGTTGGTGACATGTGTGATGTAGCTGGTTGTCATGGCTGTGTTCATGTAGTTCATGTCATTGACCTTCGGACTTCATGTGTTTGTAATCTGGGACTGGTGAACAATTTCTGTGTCCTTTGACATCAGCCTATAAATTTAGTCACGCAGATTGGTACCTGTACTCACTTGGGTGTTGTTGTTTAACGCCGCACTCCGCAATATTCCAGCCATATGGCGGCAGTCTGTAAGTAATAAAGTCTAGACCAGACAATCATTTGATCGACATCATGAGCATCAATCTACGCAATTGGGGTGATGATGGCGTGTGTCAACCAAGTCCTCGAACCTGATCTCCCAATCCCTTTATTCCCCATGTACCACAAGCATGGGTTACTGAAGATCAATTCTAACCCGGATCTTCACGGGTCTGTTGTTGCTGAAGTCTGTAACTAAGTCAAAGTGGTCTATAACTTCAGTCACTAGCAGCTTATCTCCAGTACAATGTGTAGGCATGTATTTATCCAGACCTCATCGGGACTGATCATGTTCTCCCCATCAGAAGCAATTGTCATTAAAAACTCCAAAATTGGATTTATGATCACCCAAATCATGTTATAGCTATATGATGGCTTGCATTTTACTAATAACAAAAAGGGAAGAGCCTTGAATTCTTAATATCATGCTATGGCATTAGCTGGAATGTAACAATGACTAAGTCATTCTGGATATGGACATGGGTACAATGTGTGAAGCCCATTTCTGGTGTCCCCCACCGTGATGTTGCTGGAATATTGCTAAAAGCGGCGTAAAACTAAACTCAGTCAGTCAGTCAGTCTGGATATGGACGTGGGTACAATGTGTGAAGCCCATTTCTGGTGTCAGTCAGTCTAAAAAGCGAAAACTAAACTCAGTCAGTCAGTCTGGATATGGACAAAAATGTCCCAATTTTGAAAGTAAGTACAATTTTGAAAATTTTATGTCAAGAATGCAGGTGAAAGTTTACTGAATGGAATAGAACGTACTGAAAAAGATATTTGCCAAGTAGCTCAAGTTGTATCCATGTTTAGATCTATCAGAGTTTCTTTAGACTATATGTTTTCGATGTGGCACATGCTGAGCACTACAGAAACATGGACCCTTTGTTCTCCAGCAAGGGTAGGAACATATCCCCAGCACTATGGAAAGAGATGACTAAATTAGATTTTCTGGTCAGTGATTTGGTGGATGGCGTGTCATCGTAATCTGACAGCATGGGACATTGTTTATGTCCTGAATGTGTCCCTGATGTCACTGTGTCAAAACAATATCCCACTGGGGCATCATGTGGAGGAGTCTCCATCACAGCCAGGAGAATTCATTTTTGAAGTTCGGAGTCAAGCCGAGAATCACGAGGGACAGATAATCTGTTTGGTTTGTTTGTTTGTTTGTTGTTTAACGCACTCAGCAATATAATCTGTAATTTCAAGGTGTAGATAAGTTGTTCTTTAAATTGCCATACTCTTTTTCTTTGGAAGTGAAGTGAGTGAGTTTAGTTTTACGCTGCTTTTAGCAATATTCCAGCTATATGATGGTGGGGGGACACCAGAAACATATTGTACCCATATGGGTCTTCCGCGCGACGAGCAAACACTTTTACCATTAGGCTACCCTACCGCCCCTTTGAACTGACTGACTGAGTTTAGTTTTATGCCGCTTTTAGCAATATTCCAGCAATATCACGGCGGGGGACACCTGAAATGGGCTTCACACATTGTACCCATGTGGGGAATCAAACGCGGCTCTTCCGCACGATGAGCGAACGCTTTAACCACTAGGCTACCCCACCGTCCCTTTAATAATGAAGAGAGATGCGATGTCAGATTTTATATATGTTGACGTCATGTCAGTTATTAATGGGAGATGCTTGTGCTGCTGATCACTGGATTGTCTGGTCCAGACTCGATTATTTACAGACCACAGCCATATAGCTGGAATATTGCTATATGCAGCGTTAAACACCAACCGACCAACCAACCATTAATGGGAGACACACACAAACGTAATGCAGATCTTCAGAGATTGCTCTTAACAATATTCCAAGATAACCTGTAAGTTCCAGGTATAGATAAGTTATTCTTTAAATTATCCATAGTCTTTGTCCCTGAACATGTGAAAACTGTTATTTTTCTGGTTTGTAAATGATGACATCAAGTCAGTTATTAATGGCCTTTCACAAATGTAATCCAGATCTTTGGAAATATTGGATGGAGTGAGTGAGTTTAGTTTTACGCCGCACTCAGCAATATTCCAGCTATATGGCGGCGGTCTGTAAATAATCGAGACTGTACCAGACAATCTAGTGATCAACAGCATGAGCATCGATCTGCGCAATTGGGAACCGATGACATGTGTCAACCAAGCCAGTGAGCCCGATCCCGTTAGTCGCCTCTTACGACAAGCATGGGTTACTGAAGATCAATACTCTAACCCGGACCTTCACGGGTCGGAAAGATTGGAATATATGGGTCGTTTAGTCGATAACCTGATGTCATATACATGTAATATATGTGACGTTTGCCCCCAAATGAAATTGGATTTTTGTGAGTTCCACAACCAAAGCACATTGGCAATCTGATGTATTGATTGAAATTCAAGTAGAAAGTCTGGAGGCTTGTTGTCAACATCAGACAGTCAACCTGCTTAGATTTCAGGAATTCTAAGATAAAGTACCCATACTTAATAACTTTCAGCTGGATTAGAATATGTGGTTGAAAATGAAATGCATAAAAAGTCAATTTCCAAATTAACTTGCAAGTATTGAACAAACTTTGAATTTTTCAGCATTACAGTGAGACTTGCGTTTAGTTTCTAGTTGTCTCCCTTACAAAGACTAGAGTATATGTTTAATATAAGAAAACTTATGGTATTATTTAAATCTGATTTTATCATATTTTAAGTGTGTGTTTAAGTGCATTTGTACGGTCGGAGGAGCATGTGGTTGAGGATCAGAGAGAGAGAGGGACAGAGAGAGAGAGGGAGAGAGAGGGATAGAGAGAGAGACTTAACATTGAATACTATTATGTGTAACCTACAATATGGCTTTAAATCTGATTTTATCATATTTTAAGTGTGTTTAAGTGCATGGCGGTGGAGGAGCATGTATTGAGGATCAGAGAGAGAGAGGACAGAGAGAGAGAGGGAGAGAGAGGAGACTTAACATTGAATACTATTATTTGTAACCTACAATATGGCTTTATACATTGCTGTATTTCAAAGACTACAGATCACTTTATTCACTTGCTAATGTTATAAATAATTCTTTTGAATACTATACAA